GAGCGGGGGTCGTCGTCAGCCAACATTTTGGCGTTATGACCAAAAGTAAAATCCTTCCATATCCTGTCAAAGCAACAGCATCAACAAGGAACGTAACTGTCGTAGTCATCAGCAGCATCAATCGTTGATGAGTGACGACTGGCGACGGAGACGGAGGCGAGACTGCTGCCAAAGTAACGCAGCATTGTCCTCTTCCCACTACTTTAAATACATACTACACTATCGTTTCATGGCGGTCGATAACGCTTGCTTCCTTCGTGCTGCCTGTACTCGCTGTCATTTGTACAAATGGATTTTTAATACCGCAAACCAATACAACGGTAGTTGGACAGCATTTGGCAACGTTGTGGAATTCGTGGTGCTTGATAGTTTTTTTTTTGTTTTCAACAGACTCAAACTGCATGCCTTGAGCTCCTCATGCTCGCCGCTCATACTAAAAACTCGACTGATAAACATATTCAGCTTTTGCCCAAAGTGAAACTACTTCTCTTTTACTTGTACCATCTCGAGCTCGGCCTCACATTCTTACTCATCCTGACTTAATCCTTGGGCACACTCCTTTCCCCACGCACTCTCTGCTCCCCTTATCCATCATACTAATCTCGTTCGTCATCTACAAATCAGCATCAGTTCTACTTGCTCTACACTTTTTCCTGCTTTAAACTGTTTCTCTTCAGTTCTCTCTCTCTCTCCATTTATTCCTTTGCTATTCCTTTCCTTACTTTTTCAACTCCTTTAAGCGCAACAATCTCTGTTGTTATTCCTGTTATTCGTCGTCCAAAGCACACACATACCATACATAGTACATGCTTTCTCTACCATCATCACTTGATTCTTCAAAGATTTTGTCGTGGTTTTCTTGTTTTTGGCCATCGCGTTCCTGGGAAAAATCGCCTGAAGGACATTCATTGCGCGCCAGTTAGGATGGCAAATAAATGTGCTATTAAAATCCTTTGCCAGCCAGCCAACAGTGCAGCGCGTGATTCCTTTTGCGCTTGGATATTTTGTTGTAGTACATGTTCTTGTAGTTGTCTGCCAGCCTGCTTGTCTGCCTCTGCGCTCGGTTGTCATTGCTCAAAGTCGATAATGTTTAATCAGCAGATTACAAATTCAACCACGAAGTAAATGATGCGGGTTTGTTTTTGGAAGAGCTAATGCGAAAAGAATGAAAAAGTAACAAAGAGGAGTTTACTAAAAGAGGGCTAAGATTGGGTTGTGACAGTTTTAGGAGAAACAAGTTAAAAGTTCAGTGACGAAAAAAAACTTAAGTAAAATAATATAAAGAAAGTGAGTTAGCCTAGTTAGGTACATAGTTAGCTAAAAGGGGTGTAGCCAAAAACTTACCCTGCTTGGACTTCTTTGTTTTCTTAATTTATGTTGAAAGAACTTGGTGTATACATAAATTCCTTATTTTACATATATGAACAGAAATAATATATCAATCTACAACTGCCTAAGGCTCAACATTTGAAGACTTCGGGATCCATAGTTCTTAGAACAAAATGGATATGCAGAAACATGTGAGCACGCTATCGGCTCTGACCGATTAGGTATGTACATAGCTAGCTAGTAACTTGATTCAGGTCTACTGAAAATATATGTAGGTAATTCCTGCAGCACGTCACTTCTTCCTGCGTTCCCAGTATTAAATGGCTTTAAGGTGGGTTAACCAAACTAATACTGATCTCGTGAATATTGACCTTAAGAAATATATAGCTCCAAGGCTTGAAGTCAATGTCGTATGTTGAAATTACTAGCATCTTAGTCTGGAACATGATGGCCTGCCAGTTGCAATTGAAAGCCTGTTGTCAGGTCCATTCATACCGGCCACCGTTCTGCCTCCGATCTTTCCAATGTGTAAGTCTAGGATAGGGGCAAAGGATTCGGCTTTTATACAATTTTCGGTGTATTATTTTAGCTAGGGATTTCGGTATAGTCAAAAAGCCGGCATCTCCTCAACCTTGAGGTCTTCCCTAATATGTTTGCCTAATAATTTGTCTTCCAAACCGTATCACCAACTATTTATTCTTCTCTCGAGGCTGCGAGTACTTTCACATATTGCTGTGGTGTCCATCCTAGAAGCGACTAAAGAAACGCTATTCAATAAGTTCTCATTGATACTGTTACAGAGGTCAAGGCACAGAGTTCTGATTGGTTCGATTACATACTTAGATCAAAACGTGTGTCTTTAATTTATTAAACCGTCTTTATATCAATGTACTAATTTTCGGATTGGATAAAAGAACGAGTTTGTCTACGATTCTCGGGATGGAATTTTCACCAGAAAACTTCCTACTAAAGCAGATTTCCTTGGTTAGGGATTCAGAAAGCGCAGATAGATATTCACAAATGTATTATATTCGAGGATTTTGCTAAACAAATATCTGAAGAGGAGTTTACTGTAGAAAAAGGCTATGAGACGCGATTCAACAACGCTTCGTTGATCCTGCGGTCAACCTTTTAATTTTATTAAAGGTTTTGGTCACGAAACTTCAAAGGAAGTAGCCGTCGAACTTGCAAGATTTTCGCTACGAATTTACTGCAAACGCGGCTTTCCTACGCCATGGCGTCAGAAGGGAAAATAAGTATGATGATAATAGACAACCGATAGATAATATATAATAAATAATAGATAATAAACAATAGATAATAGATAATAGAAAATATGTAATATATAAAAGATAACAAATAATGGATAATAGATAGTAGATAATTGATAAAAGATAATAGATAATGGATAACAAATAATAGATAATGGATAATAGATAATAGATAGCAGAGGATAGATAATTTGTAGTATATAAGAAATAATATATAACAGGTAATATATAGTAGATAATATATAGTGGATAATAGATAATCGGTTATAGGTAATAGATGATAAATAATAGGTTAAAGAATTGAGTGCATATGCAAAACTTACACAAAATACATGAAGAAAACTTTTGCACATGCATCAGTGCATAGCATGCGTTTAGGCGTTTGGTGTTAGTAGTCGCGCCTAAATACAGCTTTTTTATTTCTTAATTTTTTTTCCAAAAATATGTATGTATATTTCTGTTTCTCTTTCTTTCTTTCTTCGCGCTCTTCACATTCTCGTTTTGAAACCTACAATTAACCCTCATAAAATTTAACATCGTTTTGACTCTTTTGGGTTCAAACAAAAATTTATACAAAAAACAATTCGAAAACTATTTCAACAAATTGCGCCAAAAATTATGCTACAAACACACGCTTATGCAGGCAAACAAAATTCCCATTGAATGCAGCCTAGCGCCTCAATAAGGATAAGCAAAAGTAGTGTTTTCCTCTACCTTTACCTCTCGCATAAACATAACTCTATCCCTACTAGCAAACGAACAATTCGTAATGACTTTTGTTGTTGTGGCCACTTCCGCTGGGCGAAAAACACCAAAAGTCATTAACAACAACAAAAAAACTTTAGTGTAGAAATACAATTTTTGGATATTGAAAACGACATAAATTCAAGAGTTAGCCTGAGCATTTGGAGACCTAAGCTACAAACGAAAAAAAGGAATGTGAAAAACAAACCAAAATTAGACATATAAATTGCAAAGCATATGTGTAGTATAGTTTTTGGATTTGTGTTTTTAACAAAAGCAACCAAAAAGCGCTTCAACTTATAGCTTTTCTCTTACTCCTCCCATTAGCGCTCAATTTGCCTGCCTTTGTGGACTGTCCTGCTGAGCATTGTTTGTTGGTTTGCTTGTTTGTATGTTTGTCCTGCCATCAATGTTTTTCAATGCTTAGCAACTCACGCCTGTTTCTAGTGTACTCTTTCCACTTTCTCCCTCTCTCCCTATCTCTCTCTCTCTCTAACAACCCCAACTTCCTTTAACTTAGCAGCACTAGTGTGCGACCCTCATTAATTTTACTTTTAAAGTCATTACGGGTTAAATTTGGCCAAATTAATACGTTACAACTTTTGCACCAGCAAAAAAAGGTAGTAAAAGTATGCAAAGGCGTACAGACAAACAGTCGAATACCAATAAAGTTGCTTACCGTTTAAGGCAATCCATAACCTTTGTGACCCCTTCCAAGTGCCCACAAGAATTTCGTCTGTTACCACCCAACTTTTTCGACTTCAAAATTTATAGTTTATCGTTTGTATCGATAAGCTTAACTATAAAATTGCACCAGGCCATTAGTGAGCTGTTTGCTTGCTAGCCGGATTGCCAAAAAACCGCCAGCACTTTGGGCAAACTATTTGAACCCCCGACTAACGAGGAAGCCGAAAGCGCTTGGCTTTGCTTAAATGACTGGCAAATTAGTCTGCCCAAAGCATTGGACCCAAAAAAAAACCAAAAACTCCAAGTAGCTGTCTGAAAAGTGTTATTGGCACTGGCAAATAATGGCAGCTAAGCAAAATTTATTTGTTGCTGCACTTTTACTTATTTTCGGTTAACTTTGGTTTATGTTAAGTTGGCTGACGTTTGTTTACCGGAAGCAATAAGCTTTCGATTATATCAGCACCGAAATAAAATGGAAATGCATTGAAAATGAAATGAAATGCAATAAAAAGATTAACAAAATAAAAGCCAAAACTAATTGCTGAAGTTATAAGTTGCTAGTGAGGAAGTTTTTGGCCAGCAAGAGGCAGGCGGCTTGTTTGTTACGCAGTTGACTCTTGCTGGTTGTGTTGCTTACAACCATCAATAAGTTTGTTGGCCACAACTTGGGTGCTGCTAATGGAAATGTAGGATTTGGAGGTTCATCACAAAGGCTGTAGACTTGGGGCATTTACACGACTAAAGGCATACATTTTGAGGGGCAGGTTCTGCAGTTAAAGCTGGGTTCTTGAGAGCATATTTTTTGTTGAAAATAAAAGGAATTCAATGAAAATATCAACCACTATGCTGGATAAATGATAAAATTACACTTTATCTCACAATTTCTTTAATGTTTTCTCTTAATCGCCATACATACTTCACCAGCACATTACTTATAGATTTTTCGTTCTTCCTCCACTCTCTTTGCAGCGCGCTAATTTGGCGGATAAGGACGTGAACCCCTTGAAGGATCAATTAACCACCAACACAGACACAACCACCTCCAATAGCACCGACATACCGGCCGACATAGACGACTTTAGCGCCGTGGCCGCCGCCGCGCTAGCCGCCAATAGCAGCGCCTCATCCACAACCACCTCCACAGCAACAACAACAGACAGCAACTCCACCACCACCACAACCACTACCAACCACCACACAACAGTCCCACCAAGCAGCAAGCTGCTATCGCCCATAAGCGCCGCATATAGCAGCGTTGCTGCTGCTGCTGCCGCCGCCGCAGCCGCGGGCTTTAACAGCCCGAATAGCGTGCATAACAACAATAACAATACAAAGCTGTTGAACAGCGTCGCTGCAGCGATAACATTGCATCAGAACGGTGGCAATCTACTGGCGGCCACCACCACCAATACACCCTCCCCCTCGCCCCCGCTATCAACTGACGGTTGCAGTATTGCCGCTGCCGCTGCCGCCTGTGGCAATAATAGCGTTTCACCGCTGAGCGCCGCTTTGAACGGCGTCAACGGTTGCCTCAATCCAAAGCTCTTCTTCAATCACGCCCAGCAGATGATGATGGAAGCTGCGGCTGCTGCCGCCGCTGCCGTACAACAGCAGCAATCGCCGCTACATTCGCCCTTGCAGGGCGCACAACATGTGGACGACGATGAAATGGATGAGGATGGCTGCAGCGGTGGTGCGACTGCCGTCGATGCCAGCAAGTTGATTACCAGCCTCACAGCCGAAATGAGGTTGGTAAAGCGTGGCGGAGAAGAAGATGCCGACGAGGAGGAGGAGGAGGAGCAGGAGCAACAGGGAGAGTACGACGACGCAGATGCCGACGAGAATGCCAATGCGCGCAAGCGCAGCAAGAATGCGCGAGATCATGAGGACTCGCCGGAGCAGCATAAGGCTGCCGTGGATAATGCCAAGACGAATGTGTGTGGTCAAAGAACTGATGATACTAGCTTAAATTTTAGCAGTAGCGATAGCAATAAAACAACTAGTTGTAGTGTAAACAAAAGTAATTTTGCAAGAAAAACGAGAGCAACAAAAGCCAGCAGCAAGCTTGATAGAGCTGCTGAAATTGGTGATGATTGCATTGATAATGATGATGATGGTGATGACAATGACGCGGATCATGCAGCGGAAGCTAATCGTATGGAAATTGATGGCGGTGAAAGTGGTGAGAGTGGGAAAATCGATGCAACAATCAAGCTGAATGCGGTAGGAAGCAATCATGCTGAATTAATAGCTGCCAAAGATAAAGAGGTAAGTGAACTCAGTAGTGAGTTGTGGAGTGGAAAATATTCCGTGTACATGGTGTAAGTGCAAGAGGGGATATAATTAGAGTACCCTTGTACGCTTTAAGATAAAAGTGAGTATTAAGACCACAAACATGGCCGGAGAGTCATAGTTTTCTGGCTTTTGAAAACTCAACGAAATAAGCATAAACATTAGACTGGGTCGCGAAAATAATTTTTCATATTACCCATCCTAGTTTGAAAGCTTCCTTTGACGGGATTTTAGGGTCATACAAATTTTTGTCCTTGGCAAGTCCTTAAAGAAATCGAGTTTTCTTCAAAAGTCTTTTCTTTACTACTCGATTGCAAAATCTGATACATGGTTGAAAATATAATATGATATGGACAACAACATTTACTTCGTTTGAAAGAGAAATTTCCACTCACTGTAATTGTATATTAATTAATTAAGAAAATGCACCGTTTTTACTAAAATGTGTAGTTTCATGAAAATTAGGGTTTTATTTAATGAGCTAGAAATTTTTTTTTTTTTTTTAACTTCAAAGGTTAAGGAGGTATTCTAGGGTGAGTTAAGTGATCTGAAAAAGATGTTTAATACTCAAAATAAATCGTATAATAAATAAAAGAGTCATGAAGAGAACTCGATTTTGACTGTTTTTGGACTCGCCAAGGATTAAAATTTGTATGACCTTAAAATCCTCTCAAAGTAAGCTATCAATCTAAGGGGTGCAATTACAAAGTGTTTTCTATCGTACGGGAACCGACCCGGTCTAATTCACATAGTACATTTTGTTTGTTCAAAAAGTGGCCTTATGAAAGCTTATAGAGTCAGTTTAGGTGAAGAGTTATCGCTGTAAAATGAAATAATAAATTTTTAGACTTCAAATAGTTTTCTTCAGTCGATTGGTTTGCGAAGGCTTTGAATCAGCTGGCAGTAGAGTTAGAGCCAAGGGGTATGAATCAGATTCAGCGTGTTAGCCTACAGATTTCAATTACTTTAATTAGTTTAATAGGTATTTCGAAATATTATTTCATAATCTGTTTATGAACCTCGCACCATAGCGCGAATAGAAATTTGTGGAAGGCTAGGGTCCTCGAGGACTCAATAGGGAGCAAGCTATTTTATGGTCCAAAAGTTGGCTTGTACGAGTACAGAAAGCTTTTGCTTTGAATGCATTATTCCTTGGTGTGTTTGCAAACTCCGCGGTATAAACCGATAACAAGAAAGTAGTAAAAATTATGTAAAAAAAAGCTTTCATTAATCCTGATCTGAATTGAACGATGTACAACTTAGGAAAAGTGCTAGCTAAAATGTTTTCAAAATCACTAAAAATAATATAAGGTGTACACTTAATTTTTTAAGTGAAACTCATTTTCACGTCTCCAAAGGCAGTCAGAAAAATTATCGCGACAGAAATAAACATATTAGACAATACAGCATATAAGTGGAACAGTTTCGAAGAACTAAAACATTGGTCGCTAATTGAGTTTTAACTCACTACAGCGGAAGTGTTTCTATATTATATTTTATCTAAGTATCCTTTGTAGTGTAAAATGCTTTGGCAAATCTTTTTTACTCTGATATCAGATCTTATATATCAGGACTCTCTAACGAATCTCAAATTGTTCTTGGAATACAAAATTTCCACACGAACTTACAAAAAAGTTAAGTTAAGTGGAAGTTTGAAGTATTAGTTATGAATTACCTTAGATTTTTGAAAATTTGTCAATGTTACTATTTCCATATACATATATGTTAAAAAAAATTAGAGCATGCGTTATGAGGAAAAAATAGCGGAAGAGCGCCAGTAAAAAGTTGACAAAAATCAACAGTAACATGTAGCTACTTCCAACTTGAACTTTATTATGCCTAAATTGAATGGCTGCAAATTTAAAATTTTTATGAAAATTTTATGACTTTTTTTTGTTATTTTTTTATTATTTTTAAATGAGCTACCCGCAAACGCTTTTTATAAAAAAGTCACATAACCCTAATTTAAAGGTTTTCCAACTTCTCCTATAATCTTTGACCTTTTCACCTCATTTCACGCTAAGTATCGATTTCCGAAACTTTAACAGTACCTTTGCTGCTATGCCATTGCCGCTTAGTACCAGGAAAGCTTTAACGTCCCAAACGCGAATGTAATTCAATCAAACTTAAACAATTTACCAAACATTTAACAAAAACCTAACCTTTTGAACCCGCTCATATTGTTTCTGCTATTTATGCGTAAACAAGTCAAATAAAAATTGTCAAAATAGAAAAGAAAGCAGGGAAGGGCGGGTGACCTCTCACCGCTCGCAGGCATTGACAACTAAACAAATAATAAACCAAATTGCCAAACTTTTACACAATTGAAGGCGTAAAAATTGTCTTGTCAATATCATAATGATATGACCTTTTGTAAACGTGGCTAGCTACTTTCTTTTATACATTTTTTTCTCCCTTTTTCCTGGAACTCCACCTCCATTGGCAAACACGTTTCAAACGGTAAACAAAATACAAAGCACACGACCGCAAAAAAAAAAGAAAAGGAAAAGTCCGCGCCCGACAAGACAAAGGCGTTCGGTTCGACTGCGTAGCAGAAAACCCACAAGGCATAGTAACCAATCATCCTCCACCCCCCAAGCAAGCAAGCAAGCAAATCCCTTTCGCTTTTCTTTGATACTATGGGGAGAAAATTAAGCGCTTGTACAAGTCAAAAGTAAACAAAAATACAAGAAAATCATAAAAAAAAACGAAAAATCCAAAAAAGGGCAGCGCGCGAAGAAAAGGTCGCGCGCACCCAAACTGTTTGCAACTTTTCCTGGCGTCTTTCGCTGACTTTTGATCAACCAGCTTTCATTTTCAATATTCTCGCCGCTCCCAAGCAGTTCAGTAGCGAAAAATTTCTGTTTGGGAAAAAATCGTTTTCCAATTGTGCGTAACAGTTTGCCTGCACTTGCCGCCGCCACGCTTCGCCAGGGCACGCAGTCCGGCCAGGCTTGAGTCCTGTGGTTTTACTTAACGCTTAACATTTCAATAAACGTGAAAAGGGCCAATACGTGTCTGGAAATGTGTGTGGCTGTGTGTTCCTGTGTGCGTTGAAAGGTATTTTCATTTGCGCTATGCGTTTACCAGTCTGCCACGTCTTCGCCATACCTTGGCCATTCTATTCCTTTCCTTTACACTTTATAGGAGGTGTGGGTGCTTGAAGTGCGCTTTGTAGGTGTGACTGAAGGACTTTGGAGTTTTTATTTATTTTTTTCTTGCTCACTGCGTGTATTGATAGCATATCAATTACAGCTTGTTTGCATAAGTCAAGCTGATTTTACATAATATTATTGGGTATTTGGCGTGGCAGCTGAAGATGGCGAGTGTGGGGTCAAGTATTTGCTTACTTTTTAACACTTTTGAAAATGTTTTCATGCCGCTTTTGTTTTGGGGAGGTGGGGTGTTTGATTTTTGCGAGACTTCTGCTTTTTTGATAAGTATAAATTATACACCAAATAAAGACCTATACTGTGTACATTTTATAGCAACAGTAATTTTATCTTTAAAACAAGGCTTTCCAGAGAAATTCCCAAAGATTTCAAGGCAACCAAACTAAGTAATTTAAAAAATATTTTAATTTAGAAGCCAAATAAAGATGGTTGTGCTAACAATTCAAACATTCAAAGGTCTATGCGGTAATGAAATTCTTAACAGACGCAGCCCACTTTTCATACCAGACTCGCCAATCACTGCAAAGAAAAGTAACGCCACCTTTGGCCAGCAGGAGACAGCTATCTTGAGGAAATCTTCTCCAGCGTACCTATACTGAATTTTTGCACAGTTTCGGATATGAAATAAATTATTTTTTTTAGAGAATTTGAAAGAAATGTTTCCTTCACTTCGTAAGCAAATCTTGAAGAAATAATTCCTGGCTACTATAAGATCGCCATATTAGGGCCATTGGGCGTTGGGTCTAGTCCCAATATTGACGTTAAAATTCGCGCCCGCATGCCAGATTTCGCTGGTGGTTCTCCCGCATAGAGTACTGGTAGCCAAAGGTGAATGCAGTGGCTGAGCTCCTGCTAGCTCCCAGCCATGTTGATGCTACTGTTACTGGGAAACGGTAAGACTATTAGTAAGCATCAACGGATGCACTGTTGAAACTTCCGTTAGCTTTTGACCACGGGGATACTACTGATGAACGCCCGTGAATGCAATACTGGACCGTTCAGGGCTCTCGGCGATGATAAGACTACTCATAAGCGGCGAGAATGAACTGTTGGGGTTCGTTCAGGTGCTCTCGGCACTGACTTCCTACTTAATGCTCTGGTGGATCCTGTGGTGACTTGAAAACGGTAAACTACCGAAATAAAAATTATACGGCGCCACAAAATGATTTCTTACTACAAATTTCCATGGGTCTGTTTTATGACCGTCCAAAAAAGTCTATGGAATTTAGACAGATGATTTTTCGAAATCTTCAGCACTATTTCTTCTATCACTCACTCAATAGAATTTCCAATACTTCAAACAACAGTCACAATATCGTCGTCAATAATTCCTACAATAACCGCTTTTCTCACATGCCCTCGGTGATCCTTCTTCTCCTATCTTACTAATGTAACATTCCATTCTCCCTTCTTTCAGGCACCACAACCGCATGATCAACACATCAACACTGCGGTTCCATTGTTGGCACTTGTGACCTTCTGATTTGTTTGAAATGTCAAAAATGCCATTGATCTTGAGTGTATAACAAAAAAAGAGGGGCCGTCGAAGGCATGACATCATGCAAGGTTGTAGTTATCTTCCTCTGTATGAGAGACTGCTATTTGTTGCAACACTGAGGCAAGTGAACTGGGTTGGGCTCCCATTGCAATCTGCAGTTCAGTTCAAGTTGAAGATGCTCTGCTTTGATTTTTATTCATTTTGCACTCCAAAGTAGCGGGGTTTCCTGCGTAGTACTTTTAGTTCTATTTTTTTTATTCTATTTTTTGTTTTACGGCTCTCTTATATTCGTTGTTTTTATAGTT